GGGGGGAGAGAGGCATTCTGTCTATTTGTCATGTACAGAAATTGGGCACTCCAGTTTGGTAAGTTCTACACTCAATAGATCAGAGAAGATAATATGTACGGTCGATTCTGTCAATATCATCTATGAAATAATACATGATTGTATGAAAAAAAAACTTGATCCATGGATGGGAGGATTGAAAAGTCGAAGAGCTTGATAGCACCTTCCTACAATCCCTTGTTGTAAGACTTTTATTTAATTCTGTTTCTTGTAACTATGTTCCTTGTAACTATGTTAATGATGATTTATCTTTATCCAGGTATTCTTAAAAATATAGAATTTCATGTTAGAATTGGGTTAAATGGCATGCAGTCTACATTTCGTTACTTTTTTCAATTGCTTTTTTTATCATGCTGTCAGTCAAGGGAAAAAAACTAAAATTGCTAGGATTTAGTACTGACACACCCAAAAATATACCATATCATGTAAAGTTAACATCTTGGTTAGTGATCCATTAACCTATATATCCTATATATATTGCATAGACACCCTGTCTCCTTACCCTCCTTACAAGCCATGAGATTGGCACCCTCCAAGACAACAAATAATAGCCTCCCGACACCTGTTGTACGCATTTGACGAGCTAGTGAAAGGGCACACACAAGATTAAATATCCTTTTATAATTAATAGATACAGGTTTAGAATGACTGAGAATCATTTTTCCAGTTATGTATGAATATGGTAGTCAAATTCACATGTATTTTTAATCTGAGTTTTCAAAAGTGGGACTCTGGAGAAGCTTTGTTGATGTTTGTGCATAGGTTACAATTATTATGAAGTCCAAGTGTAAATAGTGAATCTGTCAAATAAGAGGACAGATTGAACTTCAGATCACTTTTTCATTTCTGCTGCGACCTATAGGCCATGCATCACATTCCAGACTAGTCTGTGACAGATTCACTTTATTAACTGTCATCTGAAAATGTTGACAATTAAACATTGCATCCATTTATCAAATAGGGAAGTTTGTATCTGGAAAATTGATCAGTGGTATAGTCAGTTCACAAATGAAAGGAAAAATGAAAGGAATTGACAATGAAATGAATATAGAATGATATTCTTGTATCAAAAGAGAAATGACCATATGAGAGAATGACAGAATAGTCATGTTAGATGCTCTTATTTTAGTTGCAGAGCAGAGGATAATTGAGATTGTGTAAATCTGAAACAAAACTTGTGTGACATTTTAATACATCTAAATACAGAATTCATGATAAAAACAAATTTAAGTTGCTATTTTGCTGAAAAAAACTACAATATCCAATGTACACTTTGATAATAACATATCTAAAACATAACTTATTTACAAATAACTGGTTTAACTGAAATATGGTCTGTTAAAAATTTCTTAACCAAAACTTCATTTGATGTTATGTGTGATAAACAATAAAATAACAATGAATTCTTACATGAGTAAGCCCTCTCCCTTTTCCTTCGGTCTGTTTCAAGGTATTCTTTGGAAGCTGCTGCTATCTTTTTCACCCAGCTGTCCCTAAGAAGACAGACAAAAAAGTTAGTGAAGAACCACCCTCATGCTTATATACCTAAACAAAATATGCATCTAAAATAATGACTTATCTATAGTTCTAGGTAGCTATCAGTACTCCTTCCCTGAAAACTGAATTTAAGAATTTATATATTATCAACTTTAAGACTTGCATGAAAAGAAGTAATAATGTAAATGAGAAGAGTTTATGACGGATAAAAACACCAAATCCTCTAATAATATCAAACTGAAGAATGTGTACTGCACCTCTCCAGCTGTGTTAGACTTTTAAAACTGTACCACCGGTCTATATGACTGAGCTGAAATACTGTAGGGTCCTCCTCAGCACCTTGGGGAGCCTTCACTGCCACTTCATTCAGGAATATAGGCTGATGAGAGAAAAACTGTCCTTTTAATATTGTATCAAAACAAACTACACTAAAGAAGTACTTTACTGGATGATATCAAAATCAGCATTTTTATTAACATCAGTCACAAGTTTTATAAATCTTAATCAAGGAATCAAAGAATAAATTAATAAATAACTAACTGGAAGTGCTCAACTTAGCTACAACTGTTTCTATAACTTTCTGCAACAATCTGTCCTTATTTGTTTAAATCCATGCAAAATTTCCAATGCTTACAGTTTTGTACATCTTGTAATGCACTTTGGTCTCTGGGTCAAAGCTAAATGTTGACACAACACTTCCCAGAGGGCGCTGGGGTTGTACCAATAATAAGAAATCATTGAAAAGAAACCCAACCAGCTCTTTATTGCTTTTGGCCTGAAATATGAAAGAGTGTGATCTCTTAACATCTTTATTGAACAAACCACATATTCATACTGATTACAGTTAGATAAACGTGGTGATAAATGCAAGGAGGCAAAGCAAATTCATAATTACATTTCAGTAATTTCTATGTTAAAGCTCTCACAGTTATAGTATATTTTAGCATGTTCTGGAGTTTATTTTGAATTACTAAATGAATTACTCTAATCTCTTTCTCTCCATGTCAGTTTTGTTCTCAAATTTAGTGCACATCTTAGCATACCTTGTATATAGTTCCTGAATAAAGAAGTTTACGTGGTCCCAAGCAGTTGGTGACTGAATTGAAAGTTATTTTCTGAAATTAAAAATTACGTTAGTTTAAAAAGTGACATGCAACTGCATTTTACTGAGACTGCAAATTTTGGCTATAAAATATTCAAAGTCAATGTATTTTTCACTTAATAATTTTAAGACCTATTTCTTATCCATTTGCAATGGTTACAGGTCTTTTGGTACATCATTAAATAAGATACAGGTTTGAGAATGTTCGGTGAAAGTTTTTCTGGTCATGTTTGGGACAAGTGTGAGGGATAAACAATCCAAGGATAATAAATCAACAACACACCTCTGGTAGTCCTTCACATTGCACATGGTTTTGTATCCACTCAAGTTTGCTGGAGTTCTCCTGTTCCCGGACGCCTTCATTGACCTGGTCGCACAGCTCCTTGGCAGCCTGCAGGGCATCCAGACAGTACTGGTAGTCTGGGTGCTCCTCTGGAGTGTACTTCAGGATCTTAACAAAAAAGTAAGAGGGTGATTATTAAGTCAGACAAACAAAAATTCATTAAAATAAAAAATAAATAATCATATAATACAATTCTAACCTGGTAAAAACCCAAAAAGTAAGTCTGACACATCAATAAGCTGATGACCTCTCTCCAAATGATTATAAGTTAGTTTAGGGTCATAGCTGGTAGAACAATATTTGTTAGTATTTTTATCTTTTTCTTTCTTTTTTGATATTTTTCTTGTTTGTGAAGTATGATATCTTCAAAGCATGGGTTACCTTCTCGATCATGAGTGGATACTTGGTGATCCTTTGCATGGGTTTGAGCAGAAAACTACTGAGAGGCATGCCTTTAGTTCGATGATCAGTGGAACATTTCTGTGGGGAAAAAAACATACCCTTTTAATAAAATTGGAATGCTTCATCTATTTTCTGTTCATAAATTATCCTTAAGTTTTAATTTTTTCATATATTCTTATCTCAGTGACTAAATAAATATATTACTTTAAAACCCAAGCAGTGACAGGGTTGGGTATGACCCTTTTATTCATTTGGTCTAAGAAAATAACTAATTCAAAAATCAAAAGTGACTCAATGTACCACTACTACCACTTCATCATGAGTTCTTGGTTCTGACCTGACTCAAGGGTGTATACACATTTTGAAAGAAAACCATTCACAATCAACTTTTTATTTAATTTTATTTACCATATCATGCAAATAAACAAATGTTTTTTCTTAATGGATATATGTTTGAATATTAAGCTTTACCTTAGCTACTTCTTTAAATTGAGGACTGTTTTCTGTCTTCTTTTGAATCAGAGTAGCTGCTGTGAGTTGTCTACTGCAGAATCTAATGTAAGGGGTTAAATGTGGGAGCTGAAATGATAAAAGAATGACATAATTTATTTATTTATTATATGTGCAATACCATGAAAGGAGTTCAATGTAACAAACAGCAATCTTCTTTTTATCTATTTTACATTATTTATCATTTTGATGATTAAAATTAATCAAACTTTTGTTCTAATTAAAGATATATTTTCAATTTTTTGACTGACCTTTCTTACTTGACCAAAAAAATGTAAACAATGTTACTCACATTTTCACACAATATATCTCCTATAATATGAATTGGTGCACTTCCACTCATTTTCTTTCGAACTCTCATAGACCTTAAAGTGAGGAATATTTTATAGTACAGAGACTAGAATGAACGTGTGTAAGCAAACTAAATTAAACCACAGATATAGAAAATCTGTAAGAGTCACATATGGTCTCACTAAAAAAAGTTACATTTTAAATTGAAGATAAACAAGCTGTTATATTCTAAAATTTAATTCAAATCTGTAAGAATATGTCAACAGGTCTTTGCCAGATCTAATGGAAGGAGAAACCAAAAAATAAAACAAACTTACTTATTTAACTTAGTATTGCACACAATCAATTCTTTCCAATTCACAAATATGGAGTCTAATTCTGCTAAAGTGAGAACTTTGGCCTCTGCTAAAGGCCTGTAAAACACCTGAAATTATACATTTCATCATATTCTAAATATCAAAACAGTAATTTTTTAACATAGAAGTAGAACTTTTTTATCCAACAAAGATGTCACTCTTTCTCTTTTGTTAATTTAAGATAACAAAGAAGTAGTTTTGAATGAGAGTTCATCATTAAGGGATTTTGTAACAACCATTAAGTATGTAAAAACTATCAACAAGGATCCCTTACATCTAAAACTATGGACATGTCAGCATTGTAGCTCTCCTCAGTGCACAGTAGTTCCTGGATGCAGTTCTGTCGCTGGATCTCTGTCTCTGATGTGTTAGCCAGGACAACTGGGTCGCTGGTCCCTGAAACCATTCACAGAAAACACATAACATGCATGCTCTGTTGGCCAATTTTGTCTGAGTCAGGATAGCAATCATTACTACCATATCCTGTGCATTAATCTCTTTTTTTTTTTTTTCAATTGCATCTGGGCATTTGCTGATCAAGCATGTTTGTCCTTATAAGATTCTGGTTTCATTTGCTACATCAGAGCTATATAATCCTGGAACAAAACACACTCTGATATCTTTCCTTTCCTAGCTATAATCAGTTGAAGATTCCTCTCTCGTGGTCCAAGAGGTCACCAAATCCTTTGTGTGATGACTTTCTTAGCACATCCCGTCATTTTGAAGGCACCTTGAGTTGGTCATAAAAAAAATATTGGGTTGTTGGTAATTTTAGGTAATTGAAAAGTGTGATAAACATTAGAGGTGAGCCTGAAGTGGAGTCTGACAACATAAATTTGAGAAAAACAACTGCCAATAATAAAGAAGAGGACTTGCGAACATATTTCCAATATATATACTAATTCAAGTAAGAGGCAACAAAAGTTATGGCACCTGAATAGCTTTGTAGTTTGTATAAACCAACTGTTGATGATGTTTCATAAAAGGGTGGACCATGAAATGAGCAACAATATGTAATTTTTTTCTGATACATTTATTGAATTTTTAGACTAGTTTCCATGACCACATATCACATTTTTTTCATCGATAGACACAGACTGCTATGTACATACAAGAACAACTGGGCATTCCAGTTCTATATGTAGCATTTTTACATATATTAAAGCATAACAGATACAACACATACATTCTATAAGGGGCCATCATACCCTGCATAGCAAGCAATCAATAATTTTGATAAAAAACGCAAATTAGTCAGAGTTCATCTACGTTATATTAAAATTACAAGTTTTTGATGTTGAAATGACCATGGAAGAGTTAATATCAAGAAGACTTTAGATCTTGCACTGCTAAAACAAAATTAGCAGTTATTGAGGTGTTAAAGTTATATTATTGTTATGCAAATACTCATCAGATTACACATGGCACAATAAATAGTTGTCTATCCTGTATCAACTTGGTTTTTGTTGTTAAAACAAACTGCTTTTAACTAGAAAATTGATAGCATAATATCTGCAAAACATGCACAATTACTTTCAATTTTTAAAATAAGCAATTTTTCGACAAGAAATGATCAGAGGTCCTCAAACATCTGACTTCTTCGGCACCTGACTCCTTATGTGAATATGGATATGTAATAAGGAATAAGGATATGTAATCCAATATGAAGAACACAAGTGCCTGAGCCACAAATTACAATATTACTACCATGTGATTGCAACACTCTCTGACAGCACACTCACTAGACACATTTCAAAATCTTCTACTGCACCATTTTATCTAAGGCATGACGTTTACTTCTACAGTAACTATGTATTCTTCTAATAACATGCAATATTTTCATAAACATGGTGTCAAACCATGGATTTTACTATCTTTTTCAGTCAAGAGAAAACTGTACCAGTTGCTGTGGTAAACTTGCAATCCCCCCCCCCCCCCCCCCCCCCCCCCCCCCACCCCCCCCCCACC